TGTATTCGACTGTATTCATGGAGTGAAACATGGGATTATAGCTGAACAGATTATTGTATTCGACTGTATTCGGCTGTATTCACGGCGTGAAACATGTGATTACACTGTTTTTAAAACGGAAAGTGAATCAATTAACATAATAGACTCATAATATAACTCAACAAACTCAATTATAACACACAAATTTTGTATTTTTAGTTATAAAAAAGATTCTCAACCGAAAAATACCCAAAAACATAGCAATCTTCAGAGAAATTATATAATACATCTGAATACATAAATTATATTAATTAAAAAAAACATATGAATACATTCATGGCATATAGCGAGACAGTGAATACAATGAAATACATAGAATAGAGCGGAATACATTGAAATACAATGAAAAAAACAGTGAATACAATGAAAAAAAATAGTGAATACAATGAAATACATGGAATACAACGAGATACATTGAATTCAAATGAAAAAAAAGACAATGAATACAATGAAATACATGGAATACAACGAGATACATTGAATTCAAATGAAAAAAAAGACAATGAATACAATGAAATACATGAAAATACACTGAAATATATTAACAGAAAATAAGTTGCTCAGCCCCAAACTCCGCCGTCTTTTTTCTAGGTAATATATTACTGTACTGCTTGTTCACAGCTTGATGTCTCCAAAGCAGGAAAAGTTTCGGTGAGTTTCGGATCCAAAGCAAGCACATTACCACCATATTGACAATTATCTCTCGAAATCTATATCAATTGAGACCACCATAGTCCAATGGTATTAGCAGAAGTTTTCTGCACAACAAGTGTAAGTTCGACTCCAATTACCACCGAAACATAACAAGTTTCGGTGAGTTTCGGTAAGTCAAAGCAAGCACGAACCTGTTCTAGGTCGTCGTCAGTGACGCTCTTCGACCGGCGACGATCGGCGAGCTTCGTGCGATAATTTCCTTTTCGCTTGAGCCAGGCTTCTTCTCGAAGCATATTGGGAGACCATGATTTATGCTTGAATAGCGGCGGTAGAGCTTCCCGTTCCGACATGGCGTCTGCAGAAAATTACACGCACCGCCGCGTTGGAATGAAAAACTTGATTGAGATTTTATGTAGATTGGAATGAAAAGAAAATAGTGTGGGTGAGAGAAATTGGGAGAAGAGAATGGGATGTATCAAAATAGAGGGAGAAAGAAAATAGTGTAACTGAATAGCGTATTTAGTGGTTTAGGGCTAGGAGGTAACCAAAATTAAATATTTTTGCTATAAACCTTAAAAAGTATCTATAGAATATAATTTTTTTAAAAGGTATTTATTTAAAATAAATAAGGTGTTAACCTTTGCTATAAGAAGTAAAAATTCCTATTTTTAACCAAAAAATGAGATTTTAGCCAAAGTTATTTTTAGAAGAACTCGGGTTACTGATAATCAAATAGAAATAATATAAATAATGTATGCAAATAAAAGTCAAATGAAACGCAAAGTAAATCAGTATATTCCAGTAGTCTTTTTCGTGTCCTTACAAATGATCAGGTTGCCCCTTTTATAGCTATTTTTAGTTGATACGTTTTGCCTTTATCATAATAAGGTCATTATAGACAATTAAAGACATTTAATGCTACGTTACAATCATTGTAATTCAATACAGATTCTTTAACGTTCTCAGTATTTAATGCCTATTAAATACTGTATCCGTTCCTACTTTTGCTGTCAGGTTCATTCTCTTATCTTGACTTTAGAACATAAAGAGGTGCGGGTACTTAGTCTCTTGAATCTCTGCTCATGCATGTTGTATCTTGTGCCTTTTTATCTATTCTTTGCTGATCGTCATCATTTGATTAATCTACGTGTCATGACACGTCATCTTTTATTAAATTCAATATATATGAACTTAATTTTTACCAATACAGTTATGGACTGGATTAATTGGGGAAATAGTTTTAGTAGAGGAATAGGGTTCTGTAGTGGGATTAGTATCGATAGGTTTATTTGCAGAAGTTTTGTTAATTAATAAAGTAGCGTTAGTTTCTCGGGGGGTGATAGAAATTTGGTTTAAACGAGTAGTTTCAGATAATTCTTCCATGGAGTTGATTAAAGACAAATTAACGGGATTAAAGTAGCGGGGGTTAGGTGAGTCGTTTTTGTGAGGGTTAGGGTAAGAAGACTTACCTGCGTGTGTTGATGGCTCCTCCGTAGTAAGCGAAGTTGCTGTAACATGTGCTGATGAGGAAAGCAATTATTGGTCCATATTATTTGATGGAAGAGGTAGCTGAAATACTGTATTATGTTTACTGTTCCGAGACGCTGCTTCATGGGAAATTATACTGTTTGCCATACCTTTTCAGAATCATTAATGGATTTGTTATAAGTATGGGAATTTGTTTGGTCCTGTGGTGGAGAAGAAGGGAGGGAAGGAGCTTTTGCATTTTGAGTATGAAAGGGACATGCTTTGGAATTATGCCCAAAGCGTCCACAGCGGATATAGAGGATATTCAAGCCCCCATACACGACCAATTGCTTGTGATTTCCAATGTAAACATGCATTTTTAACGGTTTTTCTAGTTGAACTTCAATGCAAATGTGAACATAGTGGCCATGTGTAGTTGAGAAGTGTAGGCAACACTCAAGTACGGAGCAAAGCGAGTCATCCTATGCTGCGACTTTTAGCTCGTCGTCAATCAATTCACGGGGGCTTTCCAAATCAAGAAAAAAAGACTGCAAAAATACCAGGCCGAGATTCGCAAGCTGTTACCCAAGTATGATGAATGCCATCTCGACCAAATCCCTCGAGCACATAATATCTAAGCAGAAGGCCTCGCCAAATTAGCAGCGGCTACTAAAAGAATAACCGGAGGAAGGAACGTGGCCACTCTCCTCCACTCGTCGATCGGTCAAATCGAGGTACGAACTACAAACCTAACTTGGGACTTGCGCAACAGTATTATCACATATTTGCAAGACGGCGTGCTCCCATATGACAAAAGAGAAGCAAAAAAAGCTTCGAATGCAGGAGGCCATGTACAACGTCATCAACAATGACTTATACAAACGAACCTATGTCAGCCCCTAGCGAAATGCTTAGGCCCAAATCAGACACGACATGTTTTGGAAGAGGTCCACGAGGGTCACTGCGGAGACCACACGGCAATAGATCCCTAGTCAGATGCCTCATACGAGTAGGCTACTACTGGCCCATAATGAAGAAAGAGGTCACCGACTTCGTGAAAAAATGCGAACAATGGCAAAAATATGTCCCCATGATCCATCAAGTAGGCGAGAACCTCCACTCTGTCACCTCTCCTTGGCTTTCATCAGATGGGGAATAGACATCGTCGGCCCCCTCCCACGAGGTAATGTATGATTTCTTTTAGTTTTAACTGACTATTTTTCAAAGTGGGTGGAAGCAGGTGCATTCGCCCAAATATGTGAGCAAGAAGTGATCACCTTCATATGAAGTAATATCGTATGCCGTTTCGGCCTCCCCAAAGAAATCAGTTGTGACAACGGGCCCCAATTCACTGGAAAAAAGATCGTTGAGTTCTTCGAGAAATGGCACATCAAAAAAATACACTCCATGCCATATCATCCCGCGGGCAATGGACAAGCAGAGTCCTCCAACAAATCAATATTAAACATCATGAAGAATAAGCTCGAGAACGCCAAGGGACTGTAGCCAGAGTTTCTACCGGAAGTGCTATGGACATGCCGCACAACGCCACAAACGAGCACAGGAGAAACGCCATACTCGCTAGTCTATAGGACTGATGCAATAATACCGGTCGAGGTCGGAGAACCAAGTCTGAGGTACTCACACGAGAAAGGACTGACTAACAACGAGAGCAAGAGGCAAGACCTCGATGGGGTCGAAGAACGAAGAGACATAGCTTACATAAGGATGGTCGCTCATAAACAACAGGCAGAGCGATACTACAACAAAAAATCCAAGATCAGATCACTTAAAGTCGGGGACTATATACTCAAAGCCAAAACACAGGCGAGCAAGGACCCACGGGAAGGAAATCTAGGGACTAATTGGGACGCCCATACAAAATTACGGCAGCGGCAAGCAAAAGGTCATTCCAACTAGAAACGATGGAAGGAAAACTATTGCCAAACAACTAGAACATCGCACACCTTAAGTACTTTAACTTCTAAGGAAAAATGTTCTCCAAGCCGTACTCTTTTTCCTCACCTGAGTTTTGTCCCAATTAGGTTTTCTCGGGAGGTTTTTAATGAGGCGACGAGGAGGACATTTCGAAGTTAAGAATGAGCAGGGGAGATTGCAAGTTGGGCAAGTTTATTGCTCGACTGTGAGCACGTAATTTTTTCCCTATATGAATTACTCCCATAAATTCAAAACAAAATAATTTTCCCATTATTTACAAATTCGTAAATTTTTTGTAGCATTTTTGATTAATTGTTTGCATTTTGTCTGTGCGTGTTCATTTTATTTAATTAATAAAAAATACAAAAATATGTTGCATTTTGCATTTAGGATTTGACTTTGCATTTCTAAGGATTAATTAGTAATTAAGTTATTTTATAAAAAAAGAGAATTACAAAAAATAGTTTAATTTGCACCTTTTAATTTTAATTTTGATTTTTGAGTAGCTTTCTGTTAATTTATTTTTTATTAATTGTGTTAATTATTATTTAGGTTTAATTAGTATTTTTGATAGGTTAATGGGGTTTTAGGATCTAATTTATATTTTAATTTAATTTTGGAAAAAAAGAAGAAGAAAAAGAATTTTGGAAAATTGAATTGAAAAAGAAAAGGAAATAAAATAAGAAGAGAGTCAGATTTGGGCCATTAATTCGAAGCCCAAACGTTACCCATCAAACCCGGCCAAACCCAGCCCAACCCATCCTTTGTAACCCGGTCCAGCAGCCCCACTCAAAATGACCCCGTTTTGTTTAAATTGGATTTGGGCCGTTGATTCCCTCTCATCCAACGGTTGGGAAGTGGGGGTGTTTTAATATATATATATGTCCGAACCCTCAGACCCCCTCTCTCATCTCTCGTCTCTTTCAACTCACTTCTTCAGAGACCACTCCAAAGAACCCTAGAGCCGCCTGAAATTTCCACCGTCTCCACCGGCGGCGCCTATCCCAATCCCACCCAAATTAACACCCTAGGAACGCCTCACTCCCCTCATCTCAAATCCACACTCTGTTTGCTTCAAATCCCCTTGAATCTTCTCGAATATCAGATCAAAGGGGAACCCTAAAATCCAAGTTGTCCAAATTCGAGTTTGCTTTGAAGTTTTGGGGTCATTCTGATGTTATTCATATGTTTTGATGAAAAATAAACATGCGAGTAGTCTCAGATTGAGCCAGAAATATGAGGATTGGAAAATTCGTCAAATGCTTTTATGGTCTGAAACCTTCGTAGGTATTCTCCTTTCTTTCTGTGGTTATCTTTTCCCTAGAGCTCTTTTACATCTTAGTATGTTTTTTTCTTCTTTTACTGTCCTTTCTTTATAATTCATACTTGTTCATTTTTTAGTTTTTCAGGGACGTTTTGTATGCATTTAGTCTATGTGATTAATTAGGTCGGACTCGTTAATTAGTTAACATTTCGTTTAGTTTAGATTTTTATTTTGCTTGAAATTATTTAAGTATTGTTTCTTTTGCTTTCCTTGAGTTTGCACGATTTTTGGACTGATTTGCCTGGGTTTGGGCTTCTGACCTGTTTGAAAAGAGGGCAGCCCATCCAAATGGTTTAGGCCATCGGGTCAATTTGACCCATCATAGGCTTAGAATTTCCTAAGGGTAAATATCAGGGGTGTGAGGGGTAATGTAGGGAAATCAGGTGAGGAATCTATCAGTAACTAATTGGGGAAGCTTCTAGGAAGCTGGGGGAGTGATTTAAGAGCATATCTGATAATTAACTAGGGACTCCTAAGCGAAAAACAGAATTTGAAAAGGGCCTAAAGGAAAAAACTAATTCCTAATGTGCTGCCCTACTTCCTTGCCTATAAAGACACATTTTCTTGCCATTCAAGGCAGAGTGAGGGAGAGATAAAAAAAATCAGAAACAATACAGACGACTGAGAACTTTAGAAAACACTGTTCCATTGTTTTTTTTTTGAAGCTTTCTAATTCTGCAATGATTGCTGGTTGATTTGGGTAAAAAAATGGATTGAATCTAAGTCTAGAAGGCTGAGTTTGATTCGTGTGAAGTTTGGTTTGAGGTCTTGGTGGTTCCACCTGGTTAAGCATTGTTGCTGTTGTGTTGTTTTGCTACTGCTGACTCTCCTTGTTCTATTTTGTTTGCTTTTCCAGGTACATTTTTTAACTCTATCCAATGTAAAAACATTGTGATATGGAAATCTGGAAGATTTGAAGCATATTGGCCATTTGCTCTCTTTGTAGGAGTTTAACTTTGTCTCCATTTTGAAACTTTAGTTGTAAGATGTTTACGCTTATATGCTAGTTAGTGACAGTGCTCTTTAGGGGTTGGGTTTTGGTTTGAAATGGACATGAGGTTCAATTTTCTGTCAAATGCTCTGTAATTTGAAAATCAGTACTAGATAAATGAACTTTTGTCATGATCTTTGGTTTCGAATCTGCCTGAAAGCTCAATTAGCATGTTTGTTTATTTGAGTTAGTGATTAAGGTTTGCATATAACTCTGAGTAGCAACCTGCTTAGTTAGATTTTGGATTATTTTACTTTAAATGCTAGAGAGATCATCATCAGCGTAGGATAATTGAATTGAACAGTGCTCCTTTTGAATCCATGATTCTGTAGTTTTTTTTATTGGGTCTATAGTCATTAAACCTTTTTTTTCGTTTAAGTATGGTGACACAGTGTCTGCTATCTCAGATGTATGAATTTTATTTGCATCAATATATGCCTGTCATGCTCTGTAAAACTGGCTCGTATGGTTTGGGTTAAACGGGTGATTATGCAATTAGTGTCATATGATATATTTCAATGTGTTGTGAATATAAATGACTTGTGTATATGGTTGTCATGGCAATTAGGAGGGGAATTATTACTCTAGGATCCATGTTAGGGCAGAATGTGCTATGCATTTGATTTAGATATTATTAGTTGTTATTAAATCCCAGATTTTCTTAAGCAACATAATTGATGTCGAGTTTTTGATGAATCATGCATTGGGCTGTCTCATGAGCCCAGATGCAATGGTCAGCTGGACGTGATTTTGTCAACTGGGTCGTTCCGTGATCAGGCATGGGTGAGTTTTAATAGTGCTTTGTTTACTAGACCATTATTATAAGTTGTGCACAAAATAAATAGGAACCTCCTTAGATTCTTTAAATCGGTTAACTTGTCTTGAAATGAAATTGAGGCGAGCGTTAGACGAGTCATAATTTGTGGCCCTCATGGATTAATTCTTAAACTGTTTGATTAAAATAAATCGAGGTGCGATGTGCCAAACAAAAGTAACAATTGCATGGCCCTCGTTTTAATTAGTTTTGTTTTATCCTTAGAAATCGAGGCACACCATTTAGCAAAACTACCATGGCCCTCGCAAAGTTGCAAATGCGTAGTTGCTTTAGGCGCGCTACTTTAATAATGTTACCTTCCTAAACTCGGGTGTGCATTTCATGTGACCCAAATCCAAATCTTAATAACGTTGAATAAAATGTGTTTTGGATTGTGGGTGCATTAAATGTGGCGCGGTCCAAAGATATGTTTTAGACGACGTTAAATCTTCTTTAAAATAAATAAAAGCGGTTTTTAAGTAAAAATGCACATAAGTTCAAAATGTTTTAAAATCAGATAACTAAGCCAATAATAATAGTTGAGCGACCGTGCTAAAACCACGGAACTCAGGAATGCTTAACACCTTCTCCCGGGTTAACAAAATTCCTTACCCGGATTTCTGGTTCGCGAACTGTAATACAGAGTCAATCTTTTCCTCGATTCGGGATTTGAACCGGTGACTTGGGACACCATAAATTATCCCAAGTGGCGACTCTGAATCTTTAATAAATAATCCTGTTTCGATTGTCCTTTAATTGAAAAAACTCCCCTTTACTATACCTTTCCGGGGGTGGTAGGGAAAAGGAGGTGCGACATCGACCCCTCGAATACTTCTCCAGGCCAAACAATAAAGGGACTAGATATACTGGGATTGGAATACCAGCACAAAAATCGTGTAAACTTTAATGTATATATGCAAGCAAAGCATACAAACGCATGATGTTCGCCTATGTCTCCACCAAATTTTAACTCTTCACCAATCAATATACTCACATTCGACCTCGTTCGAATTAATTAAGAGTCAACATACGACCTCACTCGGATCGACTCACATTCGACCTTGTTCGAATTAATTAAGAGTCAGCATTCGACCTCGCTCAAATCGACTCACATTACCTCGTTCGAATTAATTAAGAGTCAGCATTCGACCTCGCTCAAATCGACTCACATTACCTCGTTCGAATTAATTCAGAGTCAACATTCGACCTCGCTCGAATCGGCTCACATTCGACCTCGTTCGAATTAATTAAGAGTCAACAATTGACCTTTCTCGAATCAACTCACCCGTTCTCATTCACCAGTAGTACAAGTCCGTTCACTACTCATGGACACTAACGAAAGGTGCGACAATACATTCCAATCCAAGATCATGTGGTATTCTTCTTCCTATCAAGCAACTCCTTCATGTCGTATCCAATCTCCCCTGTATAATAGCCAATATTCCAAATAAATTCCGTAGACCTAGTTACTGCCCACCATGAATCCCAAATCACTCTAAACTTTTTTGTCAAAGCGTGTAGTCATCCTACCACAGAACCCAAATGCTACTCTGCTACTCTCCCACTTTGGTCCAACACTCTCCTTTAAGCAACTACTCGACTTCTGCTTCTATAATAACATATATAACTATAATAATTATAATTATAATAGTTTTAATAATAATAACAAATAGGTGTAGTTTGTATTAAAAATATAGTAGAATAACTACCTTATATTATTAGTGATATTAGAAGCTTAAAGAAATAATTTGGAAGAAAGGAGGGACAAAATTGGATGTCAACATATGTCCCTCTTTGACCAGAGACGATGAAAGAGTTTTTGGGAAAAGAATATTGACTTGATAGCCAATTTTGTCCCAACCATCAAGGTTGAAATGGGACAAAGGGGACATAAAATAATAATTGTGGCCGAACTTTGGTTTCGAGTTGCCTACATATCTCGGATATTACCAGAATCGGACCATATGTAGTTTAATACTTATGGTATCCTGGAGTAGGACTCACTTATCGATGCGGATCCTAAATTGCTGCCCAAGTGTCGAATAATAGCGACACTGGGTACCATGATTGAAAGAAAGATGTTTGAAATAAGAATTGGATTATACATTCTGAGAGTCGAGCCGAGCCGGAGTTCGAAGTAAATACATGACCTGTGTTGGAGAGTTTGGTATTCCTCCCCAACAAACTACCCTAGTTCACTGCTAAGATATAGTTTCACGTTGCGCTATATTTTCTGCAAAGCATAACAATGCTAAAAAGATTCTTTAGGAAATAAGATGAAATATGCTATGAAAGTAATCTTATGTAACGACCTGATCGGTTATTTTGAACTTTTGCACTTCACTCGCCAGTTCTCGGGAATGACTAGCCCGGTGTGATGTATTATGACTTATGTAAATCGTTGATTTTAGTTTTCAGGGTAATCGAAATGGATTTGGAAGAACAGTTCCCAGTTTGAAGCTTAAACTTTGAAAGGTTTGACTAAGTTTTGACTTTTTAGTATTCGATCTCGGATTTGGATTTTTATGATTTAATTAGCTCCATTAGGTGATTTTGGACTTGGGAGCGCGTTCGGAATATATTTTGGAGGTCCGTGGTAGATTTAGGCTTGAATTGATGAAATTGGAAATTTGGCATTTTTCGGTTGGTAGCGGAAATTTTGATATTGGGGTTGAAATGGAATTTCGGAAATTGGAGTAGGTCCGTTGTGTCATTTGTGACGTGTGTGCAAAATTTTAGGTCATTCGGACGAGGTTTGATAGACTTTTTGATCGAATTCGGAATTCGGAAGTATTTGAAATTCTTAGGCTTGAATCCGAGGGTGATTCGATGTTTTGATATTTATTTGAGCGTTCCGAAGGTTGGAACAAGTTTGAATGATGTTATGGGATGTATTGGCATGTTTGGTTGAGGTCTCGAGCGTCTCGGGTGAGTTTTGGGGTGGTTTTGGACCATTTCTAGTTGCTAGTTTTTGGCTTCAGGGGTGTACAGTGCGTTAGCATAGAACTGACCGCGCTAGCATAGAGAAAATTTGGAAAAATAGAGTTGTGCTATGCGATCGCGCAAGTCTACCCGCGATCTCATAGAGTAAAATCTCTACTACACTGACCCGATTTTGGAAGCTTATATCTCACAATCTTTATGGAATTTGAAGATGATCCAAAAATGAAAGTTGTAGCCCTTGATGTCTAGTTTTAAGAAAGTTAAATCAATTGTAATTTGGTGTTTTGTACAAAAGGTTATGACCATTATACTATAGGATGTCTGGAAGAGTTGGAGAAGGTTGTTGGAAAAATTTGTTCTACGTGATCGCGCGGTATGGCCGCGATCGCATAGGGTAAAAGAAGGGGTGGAAAATTTTATGCTTCGCTATCGCACTAGTTTGTCCGCGATAGCATAGGGTAAATGCCTGGGCAGATTATAAAGTACTATATTTAGAGGATTTCAGCCATTTTTACATTTTTAGAGCTATGGAGCTCGGATTGATGCGATTTTTGAAGGGATTTTCAGAGGATTGATTGGGGTAGGTGTTCTTCACTCAAATTTGGTTAAATCTCATGATTATGTATTGATTCTTATCATGTAATTTGGGAATTTGGGGTGAAAATTAGGAAAAATGGAGGAAGGTTTGGAGAGTTGATTTTGTGATTTCAATGGCCATTTGATGTCGGATTTTGGTGAATTTGATATGGATAGACTCGTGAGAGAATGGGTTTTTCAGTTTTGTAATTTTTATCGAATTCTGAAACGTGGGCCCGGAGGCCAGGTTTGAGCCAATTTTGGGATTTTGAGTTAATTTGATTAGTTTCGCTTGGGCTTTGTTCCTTTAGCGTATATTGATGATAATATACTGATCTTGGTTAGATTTGGAGCATTTGGAGGCCGATTCGAGAGGCAAATGCATCGTGGGCTAGAGTTTGGACCTATTTGAGCTAAGTAATGATTGTAAATGTTGTCCTGAGGGTATGAAAACCCAGATTTTACATCGTTGTGCTACTTTGAGGTAACGCACATGCTAGATGACGAGCGTGGGCTCGTGCACCGTTGGGGGTTGTGACTTGGTTGGTCCCATACAACTATTAAGTCACGTATTTGATTGAAAACTGTTTGATATCATTGTGTTTTGGAAAGTATTACCATGTTTTGGGTAGAATGCCATATTTGGGCATCGTACCAACTATTTTGGGCCCTTAGAGGATTTTTACTACTATTCCTCATTTTTTTTACTTCATATTTGTACTTAGTCATGCTGTATTCTACTATTTTCATAACTCAGCCGTAATTACTCCGTTTTGATATTTTAAATGACATTTTGGGCTGAGCATCATGT